CCTCCTCCTCCTCCTCCTCCTCCTCCCTCTCCTCCTCACCCCCTGGTGTGGGAGCTGTGGCCCTTCTCGAACGGATTGATGGCAGTGCGTGTGTCAACACACCCTCGTCGCCCCCGCCTGTCCGCGCCGCCGCCCTTACAGCCGCCGCGCTTGCGACGGCCGCGCTCGCATCTCCCCCTCCTCCCCCGTGCCTGTGGCGGTCCCTGTCGGTCGGCCTCGTTCTTGGGTCCCGGGTGCCCTGCCCTCGCGTCGTGCCCTCGGCCCCTTTGCGGGCCCTCGTTCGCCGCGCACTGCGCTCGTATTTTGAGACGGAGTTGGGGCTTGTCGCTGACCCGCGCCCACACGAAACCCCCACGCCTGCCCGCGCCGCTCACATGGGCTGGCCAGCCGCCCGCCGCGCGCGCGCGCCTGGCCGCGGCAGCGGGCGCCTGCTGCTGCCCGCCCGGGGCAGCTCCGCGCGCGGGCGACGGGCTGCGCCTCGTGCCGCCCCCGCGGCCAGGACGCCCGGCCGCCGCCGGGTTGGCGCGGGCCCCCTTCGCAGCGTGGCGCCCGCGACGCGGGCGCTCGGGCCGCCGCCGGGCCTCGCGGGCATGGGAGCGGTGTGCGCGTGCGGTATTCAGCTGCCTCGATGCACCAGTGTGGAAACGCAGCACGTAACTATCGTGCTTGAAACGTCCGTGTCGATGCGTCGCACGCTGGCTCAGCGTATCGGCCCACGTTCTGGCGAACGTATCGCGTCAGACCTATGTGCGTTTTCAGTCTACGTGTTGAGCTCCAGATCAATGCGGTACGTGTTGCGTGTTGCGTATCGGGGCAGCTGAGGTGCGGTAGTTTCCCGCCACCCGCCGGCGCCACTGCCCCGCTGTCTGCCTTGCCCTGCTACCGCCAGCCCCGTGAGGGCTCGGCGGCTCCCCCTTCAGTCTTAGCCTGGCGCCGCGCGCGCGCTGGCGTAGACTTCGCCCCGCCCGCGAACGCTCAAAGGCGTGTGCGGCGGGCAGGTGTCTGGCCGGCTGGCCTTGACCCCTGCGCAGGGCACCAGACGCCAGCCTCGCTCGTTTCGGCGGCGTTAGTAGCGCCGTCGCGGCGGGAACGGCCAGGGGCGCCTGCCGCCTGCCCTGCCTCCCGGAGAGGAGGCCCACGGCATGCTGGCTGGGGCACGGACTGCGTGCGCGCCACCGACCCGCACGGCCACACGCTCGAGCTATAGGCGCTCCCTTCGGCAGCGAAGAGGCGCTGGACGACGAAGTGAAGGCGGTCGCCTCGCGGAGCGGGGAAGGCCTGGCCCGGCCGCCTCGCGCGTTGGAGCGTCGGGCGTCGACCACGCCAAGACCGAGCCTGTCACTGCCCGCTTTTGCACGACGTGGAGGAAGTCTCCAACCAATTGCGCCTCAAAGGGGCAGGATCGCACCCGACCGTCTCGCCACTCTCGACCAGGATCTTCGCTCCGCGATAGGCACCGTCGTTGGAGGGGGGCTACCAGGCGACGTCAGGATTCAAGCCCCCATCGGTATCTCTTGGGGCGGCCATGGCCTGCGCACCGAGGAACACGTGCCCACGCCGCCGTCGTCGCCACCCGCACGCCCGCGGAATGTGCGAACACATTGCCGAGGCTGGTCTGTGCACTGCGACCTCGGTCATGTCAGCGCGCGGAGGACGCCGCATCTGCCATGGCCGAGCTCTTCTCCTCCCTCTGTTCCCTGGCGCCACGCTCCTGGACCTCCTCGTGGAGGTCAGTCCGGCCTCTTCCGCGACAGCGCGCGTACGGACGTCGAACGTCGTCGACCCCAGGCGGCACGGCTGGCCCCAGCGAGCGGGCAGCGCCCCGTCCCCGTTCGGCGAAGACGCAGGCGATAAGAGCACCCTGCTGCCGCGCCCCGCGGGCGCGCCCAGCTCCAGCGGGCCATCCTGGCTCGCCTCGACACGCACCACGACATGCGGGCCCCAGCTGGCGCTGCGCCGCGCTCAAGTCCCTCGGCGGCGGCTGGGCGACCACCGCCCACATGCACGTGCTCGCCCTGAGGCAATGCGTGTTCCGCGGTGCGCGGGATCCAGACTCGTTGTCCCGCTACCTCTCCCGCCCCGTCCTCCTGAGCGTCCTTGGGTCCCCTGCCTCGCCCCCTCTCCGGTCCACTCTCACACCGTGGGCTCCTGGCCCTGCTGCAACGTATCCGCCCGACCCCGCCAGCGACCTGTCGTTGTGGCGGACGGTCCAACGCGTGATGCTCGCGGTCCAGATGTACACTGCCCCACCGACGGCCGACGCGTCAGCGCCCGCCCGCAGCCCGTGCCCGACTTCGGCGCAAATTGTCTCCCGTGCCGCGTTGTCGGCCGCCGAATGCTCTTGGCGGAGTTCGTGCGTTTCGGAAGCCCGCGTCGCCCCCAGGATGCCATCACGCCTCCTCCTCCTCCTCCTCCTCCTCCTCCTCTTTTGTTTCTTCTCCCTCCTCCTCCTCCTCCTCCTTATCCTCCTCCCCCTCCCTGTCATCCAGCAGCCGCGCGCAGCGATCCCTCGTCATCGTCCGCTTCCTTCCATTCACTATCTTTCCCTTTTCCTGAGCAGAGTCTGGGTCACATTCTACACTTGTGCCTCGCTGGCCACGCGGACTTGGCTAATACATGTTGTCTGCCATTGTATCCGGTTTTGCTCTCACCATCACGTCTGGGCATTCGTTCTATTGCGTGTAAGCGCCCGTTGCCGCAACTTGGGCGACACGCGCATCATCCATGTCAGCAAGCATGGGATGCTCCATTTTATGAGAGGGAGAAGGTGTAAGAGAGAGAGAGAGAGAGAGCGGCATAGGGGGAATGATAGGGTCACGCACATATGTGTGCACATTGGAGCCAACACGTGGTACTATCGGCGCGTGCATACATACACGCATGACAAAACAAGGAGGAGCGATTAGATAGAGAGGGGGAGGGAGTGACGATATAAACACAGTAGCGGTATACAAGCACAGTAGATAAGCATATGCATAAACACATAACAAAGTGAGAGCGAGAGAGACACACACACATGCATATAGAAACAAACAGGTGTATTTAGAGATATGGAAAGGCAGAGAGGGGGCTAGAGAGAGGGAGAGCTGGGTGCCAAGGAAAGGCAGAACGAGAGAGAGTGAGAGAGATAAAGACAGAGAGAGAGAGAGAGAGAGACACAGGCAACACAAAAATAATGAATCGGGTGGAGGCGGGGGGGGGGGCAGAGGGAGACGGAGAGGGGAGAGGAGGAGGTGGATGAGGCGGATATGTGCATGCGTCTGTGACGCCTCGCATCCAGCGAAGGGAGGGCGGACCCCCCCCTGGCACCAGAGGGCACAAGGGCCGAGCCGAAGCTCCCTCTGAGTTCCCGTCTCCCCCCCGCACGCAGGAGAGGCCGAGCCCAGAGGAGGCCCCGGGGAGAGTCCGCCCTCCCCGACGCCTCTCTGGGCCTCAAGGCGCGAAGGCCTCCACGAGCATCCGGCTCTTGCCGAGAAACTTTAGAAGAGCACACGCACCCCGATGAAGGATCCGGCTATCCCCCGGAAGCCCCGCGACATGCAGTCGAAGCAGTTGATGGAGATCTCCAGCGGCATCCCGCTGCCACCCATCGGCGGCCGAGTCGCACGGCGCACTCCTATTCTGCCGACTCGACACTGCCCATGAAATAGACTTCCGACGAATCCACCCCAAAGCGTTTGTAGATCACCAAGAGCACGCCGAACCACACATCAGTGACTGGTGCCAATCGAAGCCTTTCGAAGAAGAAAGTGTGATTCGCAGTCACCACCTCCACTCCGATGAAGAGGACCACGAAAAATATCAGCTGCTGGGCGCCCTCCCGAGAGTCATCTCGACCACGACGTCGAAGCCCTCGAGAAGCACCCAGCCTGGAATATCACGATGCCGCCATGGCTCGGCCAAGCTGCGCCTCTTCGGAGTGCGCTCGGCCAACCTCGAACTCTCGAGGTGAAAGGGCTGGGAAGAGGAGGAGGAGAAGGAGGGGGAGGAGGAGGAGGAGGAGGAGGAGGAGGAGGAGGAGGAGGAGGAGGAAGAAAAAGAAGAAGAAGAAGACGAGGAGGAGGAGGAGGAGGAGGAGGAGGAGGAGGAGGAGGAGGAGGAGGAGGAGGAGGAGGAGGAGGAGGAGGAGGAGGAGGAGGGCGGAGGAGAAGGAGGAGGAGGAGGAGGAGGAGGAGGAGGAGGCGGAGGAGGAGGAGGAGGAGGGAGGAGGAGGAGGAGGAGGAGGAGGAGGGAGGAGGAGGAGGAGGAGGAGGAGGAGGAGGAGGAGGGGGACGAGGAGGAGGAGGAGGAGCAGGAGGAGGGGGGGAGGAGGAGGAGGAGGAGGAGGAGGAGGAGAGAGGAGGAGGAGGAGGAGGAGGAGGAGGAGGAGGACGAGGACGAGGAGGAGGAGGAGGAGGAGGAGAGGAGGAGGAGGAGGTGGAGGAGGAGGAGGAGGAGGAGGAGGAGGAGAGGGAGGAGAGGAAAAGGAGAAATAACTCAGGAAGAGGAGGAGAGGAAAACCGCCATCCATGTAGCTGTCGCAACTTGTAAGTTCTGGGGTAATGCCATGTCAGAGAGGTTCAAGCGAAACGCCCTACTTGGCCTACGGACGCGACAGACACAGCCGAGTTATTCACAAGAGAGAGTGATTGGGGAGGAGCAGGATGAGCAGGGGAGGAGGGGCAAGAAAGATGATGACGAGGAGTGATGGGGGGGACGAGGGAGGGAGGGAGGGAGGGCAGAGAAACAACGTGGGCCAGGGCAGTGGCGAGTAGAGGGTAGGTGGGGGGGGAAGGGATTGGGAAGAGAGAGGGCCAGGGGCTCTGGAGGAGGGAGGGTGCGGGAGGAGGGGAGGCAGGAGGAACGGACGGCTGGAGGGAGAGGAGGAGGTGGAGGAGGTGGAGGAGGTGGAGGAGGTGGAGGTGGAGGTGGAGGTGGAGAGGAGGTGGAGGAGGAGGAGGAGGCGGAGGAGGCGGAGGAGGAGGAGCCCGGGCGCCTCCTTCGGCGCCGCTAGCCGTGAGGCCTGCGTGGCCTCCTGAGCCGACGCCGCACGCGCGGCTCCCGCCCCCCCCCCCCCCGGGTGGCCCGGGCCTCCGACGTGGCGCTGTCTTTGGGTCCGTGAAGGGTGGCGGCAGGAACTCAGCACGGACCGGAGCTCTCGGAGGCCCGCGCCGGGCTCACTGCGTCGGCGTTGGAGGCGCCGCCGCCTCTCCCCCCTCGGCGCGCGCAGCGGCCCCTCCTGGCGCCGCCGGAGGCGCCGCCAGGAGGGGGGGCGTCCGCTGGCGGCGCCCACGAGGGGGCGGCGCGGAGGCGGCGGCCTTCCAAGCAGGCGGGGGGGCCTTCTGAGAGGGCAGGGGGGGCTGTCAGAAACCCTCTTGGCTTCTAGGACAGCTTCTCGGAAGCCGCGAGGCTCTTTCGAGAAGGCCCCTAGGTCCACCTGCCTCGCGCCAGCCCCTTGTGGGCCGCGCCACTGCAAATCCTCCACTGGCCCAGAAGCTCTGCGCAGGCGTCGGATCATCCACGTATGCGCTGTCGGGAGCTGCCTTCACCATGGGGTTCTCAACTTCCGTCTCGAGTTATTCTCAGGCACCTCTGGGGTTCTGCCCGGCGCCTGCCAGTTCCTGCCTCGTGGCAGCCCCCGTGCGGTGGCTGGCGTTTCCAGGCTTCCTCCCGGTGCGTCCGCCCTGTGCGTTGGCCAGCTTTCCGGGATCTCGTCTCACCGGGTGCCCGCTCGCCACCTCGTGCAACGATCGTGGTCGCCTCCCCCGTGCGCTGGCGCGTCGGCGGGCGTTCCCCGAGATTCGTCCGGTGCCCGCGCGGGCTCGCCTCGTGCAGAGCCGTTGCGCTGGCTGGCGCTGCAGGGCTCACATGCGTACACGGCTTGCACCAATTCGTTTTTTGTTGTTTCTCTCTCTGTCTCTCTCTCTCTCTCTCAATATATATAATATAGGTGTATAGATATGTAGATATATGTCCTCAAGCATGTTAGACTTACACTCTGCCCATGCCGAGGTTGGACTCAACGTTCCCTGTCTGCGTAGGTGTTTGGTTTGTCGTATCTCTTCTGCACAGTCGCTCGTCCAAAACATGGGCCACGACCATCTTGTCAAAGCCTTTTTTTTTCTCCTCCCCCTTTATCCTCCTCCGAAAGATACGAGTTGACCAATGTGCACTGTCAATGGTTCTGCACTCAGTAATCGAATGCGGGCCGCACGCGCGCGCGCTCTTGCCCCAAACCGCCAAAGCCAAATGGTTTTTTCTCATAGATCCGTAAAGAATCGCCATCAAATTCGGCTGCCACAAGAGTTGTAGATTTCTGTACGCGCGCACTCGCTGAAGGCACAAGAAACCACACGTGCTTGATCTCGTTGTCAAACGACACCATCCCAGCCACACGCGAGCGCGTTTCAAGATCCTTCAGCCATCGCGCTTGCGCCAACACTGTCAAGCAACACAATGCGGGCCACATGCGCGGCATCGCGCGCACATGTCGAAGTCATTGCGAAATCATGTGTTGCCCATGTGTTTTTTAACATAGCTTGCTCTGGTTCTCATCACAACAAGCTTGTGCCAGAAACAAAAGCAATGGCAGTCGAATGGGAATGATGTCAGAGTTTTTGCGCGCGCGCAGCTCCCCGTTGCCTCACCCTCATCTTCCTCATCAGCACAATCGTCACCATCAACACCATCATCATGACAATCATCATAACCATCATCTTCGCCATCATCATCATCATCATCATCATCATCATCATTATCATCATCATCATCATCATCATCATCATCAACATCATCATCATCATCAGCAGCAGCAGCAGCAGCATCTTTATTCGAACCACCACCACCATCATCATCATCGTCAGCGCAAGTATTGTCATCGTCGCAATCAGCACCACCATCGTCGCCTTACATCATCTTGGTTGAAGTCGCCCTTGTCATCAACGCTACCACCATATCACCATACCCATTGTCATCGCCGTCGTCGCCGATGCCGTCGTCACATTCACCGAGCGCCCGCCCGAGCCATAGATCTGCATGAACGTGGTCTTCGCGTCGTTGAGCCAGTTAAGTTTTGCCAAGAAGGCTGCAGGTGAGTGGGTGGGATGCTGGCTCGAGCAGTAAAGTTCGCGACGCCACGTGTTTTCAAGAGGTAACGGGGGCACTTTCCGAATGCACCGCACAGGCTGCGCTACACAGGCTGCGCCCCATCTCCAGCACCACGTGCTTTGTGTGCCACCTGGATGGCGCCCCGTAGCCTGGGACGAATGCCCAGTGATCCGATGTCGTAATTTTTTCAATGCGGGTTTCCCGGAAGTCTCGACTCATTCCCCAGGACTGGTTTTTCATCCTGAGTCGTTTTTTGACGTCCCGAGGCCCGGCGAGGGCCCCTGGAGGCCGAAAACTGCGAGAAACGTCCGTCTTGTTGTTTCCACTGCGTTGGCTCTCTGGGCAGCTCTCCTCTGGAAGCCTGGCGCATGCCCCTCAGCTCCTCCCTCCAGAAGGACCCGCCCTCGGGCCTCCGGGCCGCCACGCAGCGGCCCGGGGGCGAGCGAAGCGGGCCCCAGGGGGGGAGGGCTCTCGCGAGCTCCGGGGCCCCGCGGGCAGAGGGAGGCACGGCGTCGGAGGTCCGGGTGTTCGGAGGCGGCTGGGCGCTGCGCTCGCGCGCGGCAGCGGCCGAGGGCGGCGCGAAGACGCTCCAGGCTGCGACATCTCCCCCCGATCCTCTCTCTCGTCTTCGTTTTTTGTCGAGAGGAGGGGGAGCAGCAGCACCAGTGATCAGCAGGAGGGGGGAGAGGGAGGAGGAGGTGGAGGAGCAGGAGCTCTCCTCCCCCCCCCCTGACATGATCGCGTCGTTGAAAAATCAGGACGGCAAGTGTCGCAGCATTTTCGGCTCCTGGGGGCCCTCGCCGGGCCCAGGGACCGTCAAAAAACGATTCGGGATGAAAAACTGGCCCCGGGGAAAGGGCCGGCACTTCCAGGGACGCCGTCCTGGAAAAGATCCTCCTGGGTCCTCCTCCTGCCCCGTGTCCCTCCTCCTGGGTCCTCCTCCTGGGTCCTCCTCCTCCTGGGTCCTCCTGGGTCCTCCTGGGTCCTCCTGGGTCCTCCTCCTGGGTCCTCCTCCTGGGACGACGTCGCGTGCCTGGGTCCTCCTCCTGCCCCGTGTCCCTCCCGCTCGGTCCTCGCTCCCTCCCCCAGTGGGCATCGGCGCGGTGGCGCACTGTCCCCGGCGAGCGGGTCGCGCTCGGGCCGCGGGGGCCGGCAGGTTTCCCGGGGGGGAGGCTCGCAGGTCTGAGGCCAGGTCGGAGGCCCTCCGGGGGGGGTGGTCCGATAACCCTCGCGCTGTGGAAGTCGATCGGTGGAGAGGAGGCGTGCTGCCAGAGGAGTTCCAGATGACTGGAAACACGTGTCAGACATGAGCCTAAACACGAAACAAAACAGCATGATTCCAACATTTTTGTGGGACATGTTTGAAACATGTCAAGCTCATCTTCTAGATCCATGATCGGATTGTTAGAGTGTCCATTGTCATGGCATCCACGACCCTCGCGGCCCACGTTCTCGCTTTCTTGGGAGCCGCCGACGTCGAGCACGGTCGAGCCGCACCGCAGGGAGGAGCAGCTCTCCAAGGCTGCCCCTGCATCCCTGCCCCTCGGCCCTCGCACCCTTTTGCACCTCGGCCCCTCCCGTCCCGGAATCCTTGCGCCCCTCGGTCCCATGCATTCTTGCCCCTCGGTCCGTCCTTGCCCCTCGGCCCCCTCAAGAGAAAGACACAAGAACCAAACAACAAAAACTCAAATACCAAAAAAATCCTCTTGCCCCTCGGTCCACTCTGCCCCCGAGTTCTTGGCCGTGGGCCACTGGCTTCCAACTTCGTCGTCCGCTCGGGGGGCCAAGGGCTTTGTTGTAATTAGCCTCACCGCGCATCCCGGTTGATCCTGTCGCACTGTCTTCTGCCCGGGCGCGTAGCTATGCAGACCTATACGAAGGAGGCGTTTGTTGAGGAATAGTCCCAGGAGGCGCCAGACCCTGGAGGGTTCCTTCTCCAATGAGGGCGGCGGTGATATCCATGGCCGATCCACGATTGGAGTTCCACTGGCCTCCAGACCCTGGATGCCTTAACCAATGGTTCCTCATCCCATGCCCCCACCGCGTGCAGTAATTCAGGAGTTGCCATCGCTTCCTCGGCGGAGGGCGGCAGGAGGCCGGCGGAAGGTGGCGGAAGTAAAACGGCGGAGGCTCGGCTGGCGAAAGTAGAAATCGCCTCCTCGAGAGGTGGAGACGTTCTTTGGGTCCAGGGTTTCCGAAATCGGCCACGCAGGCGGAACCTTTGACACCACCTATGGCGGACCCTCTGGGCCAATATACGATTTGGTTCTTGCCCTCGGGATGTCTGGCGGAACCTTGCACTATCCTGTGTCGCAGCTTTTGGCGTACCCTTGGGCCAAGGGCGATTTGGTTGCCCGTGGGGTGAGCGATGCAACCTGTGGCGGGCCGACTGGGCCAGCATGCGATTTGGTTGCCCGCAGGGTGTCTGGCGAAGCCTCTGGCGGTCCTACTGGGCCAACGTGCGATTTGGGGGCCCCCGGTGGGCCAGAACATGATTTGGTTGTTGCCCGCGGGGTGTGGCGAAACCTGTGTCGCATCATCCTATGGCGCGGCTTTTGGTGAACCCGTTGGGCCATCGGGCGATCTGGTTGCCCGCGGGGTGAATGCTGCAACCTGTGGCAGACCTGCTGGCCACCTTGCAGTGAGCGACGCAAAACAACGGGGTCGTCTTCGCCGACTTTCGCGCGTAAGCTTCCCGCGTGAGGTCGCGCGCAAGTGCCCTCGCTTGCATTGTGGCGTGCCGCGCCGGCGGCCCGCATAAGCCGCGGCGTCAGGGCGTCACTGATCGTCGCTCAAATGATATGATGTGGTTGTTGCCCGCGAGGTGTGTAACAGGACTTACGTGGCAACATCCTATGGCGCGGCGTTTGGCGAGCTCATTGGGCCAACGGACGACTTGGCTGTTCTCAGTATGTCTGGTGGAACTTGCGTCACAGCATCCTGTGGCAGAGTTTCTCGCGAACCGCTTTGACCAGCGAGCGATGTGGGTGTCCGCGGCATGCCCGGCGCAACCTATGGTTGACCGATTTGGCCAACGGGCGACTCGGTTGACGGCGGGGTGCTTGGAGCAACCTACGGCACCACGTATGGTGGACCGATTGGGCCAACAAGCGATTTCGTCGCCCGCGGATTGTATGGCGTAGCCCACGGCGTAACCTTCTGGGAGTGTTGCTCAGGGTCTCTTGCCGGGGAGCAGTAAAGACAAAAAACTCCTCCCCGCCAGCCCGCCCCGCACTCCGCGGCCCCCAGACCTAACAGAACCCCGAGTTGCATTGGGTATCCCGCCGATCGTCGTCCACGAACGACGACGAGAAGCGCCCCGCACGCCACGACCGCCTGGCCCGAGTCATCCCCGACAGTGCTTGGGTGTTCCGCCCCGTGCCCCCGACTGAATGAAGATGGACCCGAAGGGCACATGCAGCTATACGGAGTGGAATGACATGTGACGTGCGCACATAGTATAGTTCTGCAGTGCACGCGAAGAGCGTCCTCTCGCGCACTCACAAAAGGCACACGCAGAACACCCATACACCAGGTATGTGCACAGACCGCTGTGCCTGCAGCATGATTGCAACGGGTTCACCTATACCTTGTGTGTAGATTGTGTGTATGTGATGTGCGTGTTCGTGTGCTTGTGCGTGTGCGTGTGCGTGTGCGTGTGCGTGTGCGTGTGCGTGTGCGTGTGCGTGTGCGTGTGTGTGTGTGTGTGTCTGTGTGTGCGTGTGTGTATGTGTGTAATGTGTGTATGGTTTCTTGTGCTCTACCCGGTTGCGCAAGGCAATCTCCTTTTTCCACCTTGTGCCGCCTTTTTCTGCCTGTACTCCGGACCAGGCGTTGGCCTTATCGCCTCGCTGCTTGCGGCCTGGCAGGGGTGTCGGCCGGCTTGGCCGCAGCCCGCCTCTTAAGTTTTGCGTGCACCTTTGGTCTTCGGGAGAAGCCTTCATGGTGCGCGGCCGTGTTTTTGGTTCTATTCCGATCCACTCGGCTGCACGAGGCAATCTCTTCGTGTCACCTTGTGTGGCAGCGCCTTTTTGTCCGTCTGTCCTCTGGACCTGGCGTCGGCCTTACCGCCTCGCTGCCTGCGCCCCGGCATGACTTGTGGGCCGGCTTGGCCGCGCCCCGCTTCTCGTTTTTGCGTGTTCCCCCAGGTCTCGCCTTGGGGTTGCTCGTTTCAGCCTCGTGCTGCGCCATGCTGCCTTCGTTTTGGCCAACTGCCATACATCCTTACCGCCTTAGGCGGGAGGACTTTTTGGCCGCCTGGCTGGGTTGTCCCTTCGGGGTATCTCGTGGTACTCGGTCGGGTGCTGCCTTACTGCACCACCCATGTGTTAACCGAAACACTGGTTTTCTTGCGCCCCTCTCGGGTGCGCGTGGCAAATTCCACGTTGCACCTTTCATGGTCGGCTTCTTTTTCCGGCTGTCAGCTGGACCGGCGGCGGCCTTACCGCCTTGCTGCTCCCTGACATCGGGTGCGGGCCGGCATGGCCGCGGCTTTTTGGATTCTGCATCCTGGTGTCGCAATCTGGGTGTACGCGCCCGCAGCTGGGGCTGCAGCTCGCTGCCCCTGCTGGGCTTTCACAGCTGTCCGTCAGCCTGCTCTGCCGGCAGCTTTCCTCCACCGTGCTTCGTCGGTCCTCTCCCCTTTGGGTTGCGGGGGTCGCTCGGTCCTCGCCGCCTCCGGTCGGTCGCGGGTCGGCCGTGTCGTGGGGTCTTCCGCCGCCGTCGTCTCGTTGGGCTCGCTTCGGCCCTCGCCTCGTCCCCCTCCTCTCTCTTTTCTCCTCCTTCCGGGTTGTCCACGCCGCGGGGGTCTGTTCTTGTTGGTTTGAGCGCTGGCGCATCCCGCCGGCGGGTTCGCCCTGCTCGTCTTCTCTTAACGGGCGAAGAGCGGTATAAAATAAACTTTTTCGCCGTCGGGGACACCTGCCCCAGGGCGGCTGGAAAGTTTATACCCTTACGGTGGCACCGTAGGGGTATAAACTTTCCAGCCGCCCAGGGGCAAGTGTCCCCGACGGCGAAAAAGTTGATTTTATACCGTTCTTCGCTCGCTGATTCTCTTCTGCTCTGGCCCGCCCCCGCCACGGCCCTGCTGACATCTTCGTGCTCCCGCCGGCTTGCGTCGCCTCGCGCGACGCCTGGGGGTCCTCTGGGGTGGCGCCTGTTTTTTTTGCGGTCGGGGTGCGGGCTCCTCTCGGGTGATCTCTGCGACGGCCCGCGCGAGCACGGTCTTCCCGACTCGAGCCGCTCTGTGCGCAGTGGCTCCAGCCCTCGAGCCCTGTTGGGGCGCTACTGGGCGCTCTCGGGGCCGTCTCGGAGCCCTCCAGGGCCCCTCTTGGGGCTCCCTTTGGGCCGTCTTGCAGCCGTCCTGATGCCTCAGGGGCCCATCGGATAGGAGAAGGCGAGAACCTAAGACGCCACTGAAACACTTCCAGACACGTGAGGAATGTTTGCCTCTAGGGAGTCTCAGTTGGGCGCCCCGTGGCCACTTCTAGCCGCATTGGGGCGGTACGGTTGCAAACTGGAGGCGTTGAGGTGGTCATATGGGCCATGTTAGGCTATCTCGCGTGATATATATACATATATATATATATATATATATATATATATATATATA